TATTATTATTATTATTATTATTATTATTATTATTATTATTATTATTATTATTATTATTAATTATTTTATCAGAAAAGCATATTTATGGTCCTCATGGAGCTCAAGCTATAGTGGAGTACCTGACAGTTGAGCCAACAAGTCAGTCAGAAGCAGGTAGGTCTAGGCAGAGATCAGTCATGCCTCCTCTCAGGTCTAGGCCTATAAGGCGAAGAAAAATTGTGGTGCCAAGTAACTCGACCCTTCTACAAGGAATGCTAGTTGCACAGTACGAAGACGGTCCTGGAAGGTTCAGGTAATTTTTTTTTCATGGCAATCATTAAAACATATACCTTCTATCGCGGGGGTAGAAGGGAGTGGACGGTGCGCGGCCCGACAACCTTGTGTGGCGTCCGAAGATAAAGGAGTGTTTAATTCCTGTCTCTTATACACATCTAGATGTGTATAAGGGAGGTGGTGGGGAAAAGGCCCCGTCGTGGAGAGCTGGCTCCCCGTCTGGGAGAAAAACCACAATTCGTCGGAGAGAAAAATAAAGCATATTGTATTTTCTACATATAAGTACACTCCAAAATCGATTAAATAAGCCTTTGAAAACCCTTTAAGATGTATTGTCCCTTGCTATAGAATGTCAAAAAATCATATAAAATAATTTGGAAATAAACTTGCTCATATTGCAATAGCATACAAATCGTTAACTTGTGCATACAAATTATCAAATTTAAAAAATGAGTACCCTGATTTTTAAACAAAAAAATTATAATAAAAATTATAAAACACTTTAACGGAAGTGTTTCTATCATTTTTCGCTGTAAACTGATGGGTAGACAATTTTTAAACACTAATTTCTATGTTCAAGTTGATAACTTTTATGTTACTTCAAAAGTTAATTTCAAAAAATATTTTTATGATTTTTTTTGGTATTTAGCAAGGGACAATACAACTTTAACATATTTTTCGGGGCTTCGGAATCTGGAACACTCTGGAGAGATTTTGAAAGACGCCTAAGCCACGCTCACTTTTTTCGTCAGGGACATCGCAACCACACCCCTCCCCACCTCTCCCCCCCCCTGGAGGATCTCGGAACCCCATCGGGGAAATCCTGGCGCCACCACTGCTCGAGGTGAGGGGTTAGGGAAAAGACAGTATTTGATTTTATGTTTTATATAGAACTTTAAATTATTTGTTCAATCTTCATAGATTTGAAGCAACATACCATGAGCAGTATGGTCATTTCATAACATCCATCAACGGAGTCGAGAACAATCATAATAACAACAGTTACTATTGGATGGTGTATGATGCCCACACCGACACTCTTCTACCATGTGGTAAATATGATAAGACATTGAATTGCATATCACAGGGGAAATTTCAGAGAGGAGAGACAATATTCCTCTCCCGACCTATTGATTACTTAATGACCACATACGATTCTTTCATCTAGGCCCCTATATAAATCACCATACCAAATATCTATCGTGTGCTTTTATAAATTTATTGTATATTATATCTTAGAAAACAAGTTCTCCCTATTTCAATACGTCTGTCTTCTACAATCCAGTCTTTTAGAACATCATTAATACAACACCTTCATGACAGTCTAGCCCTACAAATCATGTTTTAGTAACTAACTGAATTCACTTCAATGCAATATTTTGATCTTCATTCATTATTATTGTTATCATTATTATTACTTTTTTTTTAATTATTATTTATTTATTATTATTTTCTGTATTATTATTATTATTTATTATTATTATTATTATTATTATCATTATTATTATTATCATTATTATTATTATTATTATCATTATTATTATTATTATTATTATTATTATTATTATTATTATTATTATTATTAGGGGGCCTATTATTATTATTGTCTTTGCCTTTATCATTGTTTCTCTGGTAGGCATATTGTACAGGGACATGTTCCCTTTTTTGCCCACCAGACTCACTACGTTTTGAGTGAAATAAAATTATGAATTATGAAGTTCTAGTAATCTCGGAAGCTCAGATGAGGGCAGTAAAATAGAGGCAATAGAGCGTGTTGGCCCTAACAGCCGCCCATACAAAAATACTTATTAATCAAACAATCAATCACACAGATGTCAATCACACAAATTACACAAAATGGCTCGTTGATCTGAGTCCGGGTATTCAAACTTTTTAAGCTGGTGGCCAGTTTCAAACTGTTGAGACAAGTGGCAGGCCGTAATTTTGTGCTGCCACATGACAGTCCATCCACTCTATTAGTCTTCCTAATTGCAGGCCTACTTAGAGTTTTCCCTTTGTTTTTCAACATCAACAAAATAGGCCCTGTTTTGTAAAAATGAGGGAATACAGAAGCATAAGGGAAGGATGGGGAATAGAAAAAAACAAAAAAACAAAAAAAAAACTTGCATCCCAGGTTTTCTACCCTACCACTAGAAATTTTCCGAGTACAAAGTAGGAAAAAAATGTCATTGTGGAAATTCCCCGACGAGGAGTCCAATATCCATAAATTTAAAAAATGGTGCACACTTACCTCAGCCCCGTTGGGGCTGAGGTGAGCTAATTTTTTAAAATAAACACATTTAAATGCCCGGAAATTGTACTCAGACTATTTAAAATACGTTTTCAACAGATACAGTGCGCTCATGTAAAACCAGACCCTTGAATTCCAGAGTAGCTGGTCGTATGTTTATCAACAGAAAACTCTAAAAATCGGAAGAAGATTTATTTTTTAAGCATGTCGCGCGGGCGGATCCAAATCTTTGGTGGGCCGGAGTTGGCCAGATGGCTAGGGGTTGAATACCAGGGGTCTAAAGGCATATGAATGTATCTTAAGGTACGCGTGTGAGAGGTACGGTAGGCCTACTTGGTCCAGTTCCTAGCTGACCAGTCCGTTATTTTTTTGCTCTCTAAAAATGAAAGAAAATCAGCAGAAAATATCTATCAGTTAGCCGAGTATTCCTAGAGCTCATTCAAAATTACTTAGTAACTGGCTCGTTGGTCTAGAACACGTGTAGGGTGTGAAATACAATAGCCTAACTATGGCTTGTTGGTCTAGAGGCATGATATGTTGTGAGCCGGGTCCCTGGTTCAATTTCCGGACGAGCTTTTTTCTCTAAAAATGAAAAAAAAAAAGTACAGTTAATCAGCAAAAAAGTACAGTCTCCGGAACAGTCAATCAGCAGGGTATTCCTAAAAACGTAACCATGCTTGGCCTCATAGCTCAGTAAGTAGAGTATCAGGACGGTTAATCTTTCCGTTCAAATCCCGATGAGGACAATACTTATTTCAATATTTCAATGTTCAATATCTATTTTTTAAACGGCCTGTTTCCTTTTATCAGACCAAGGACTCATTTTTAAATTTGGCATTTTTAAAGTTTTAATCAGCAGAAATAAAATTGGAAAAATACGCAGTAATAACTTTAAACTAGGGTAGGCAGTGCATACAACATGCAATACGTTTTTGTTAATAGTTAATGGCCATGGAATGGTTGTGCATTTAAATTTTCCAAGAAAAAAAACTAGCATAACAGGGGTACTGGCGCCAGGATCCGCCCCCCCCCCCCCACAAGAGGGGTCAGATTTCGCCTACGAAAGCAAAGTGGGCGTGGTCGATCTTCGAATAAAAGGTTCAAAAAGTGGTAAAGGGGTTTCAAAGGCTTATTTAATCGATTTTAGATTCTACTAATATGTAGAAAATACCTATAACTTTTTCTTTTCTCCCCGACGAATTGTGCTTTTTCTCCCCGACGGGGGCACTGCCCCTCGCTCTCCTCCCCACGCTGGCGCCACCCCTGTACTGTAGCATAAATGGTTGAAACAGAAAAGAAATTGGTAGAAAAGAAAAACACAACTAAAGGGAAGTGAAAAGAAAAACAAAACAGTAGAGTGGAGGAGATTTTCAAATAAGAATGATTTAATACGGCGCTTATTGAATTCAAGAGTTTGGGCCCAACAACTCAAACGGACTCTCCATGAAGGGAAATGTAGGAATACACATTCGTGCGAAGTTATCATTGCCGTTGTTTATTTAATTGATGTGAATTTTTCATTACAGGTGTTGACTCTACATATCCAGAAAATGACGCACACTTTATCTGGAGATATGAAGAATATATTCCGAATAATCATTAAAAACGTAGAAATTACAGGAGCACAATTTTTTTGACACCCATAATGACACATTTTCAACAGTAAGTGACCTTTTGTCACTCAAGTGCACATCCGAATTTGGATTGTCACCAACACTCCATAATTTCTTCCTTGTAACTTGGTTAAGCTTTCACGAAAGTTTCATTCATATCAGTAAATATGAAGAACATTTGTTAGATCGTTTTATGTGTATTGATGGTGAAAGAATATGTTTGTAATAAATAAAACCATGATGAAAATGCTTATATTTAGTTTCAAACACACGTGTGTGGCCTAATTATAAATAAGATAAGCCCTATGTCGTATTGTTTTCTATGTGGGGGGGGGGGTGTATGATAAATTACTAACCGGGAAAATTATTACCTTTGCCCCTGATTCAAGACCCCTGTTACGCGCCTGATCCCTTTAAATGGTCCTCAGATCCACACCCTACTGCGGACCGTCAGCAAACTTTAATCATTTCTTCATTGGTGGGCTATACCGTACCGGTACCTTTACACTCCCTGTTATTTTCAGTTTGTGCAGCCGTTTTTGAGATATTTCGAACACACACACACACACACGCGCGCAAACTGAAACAGCAAAGCGTTACACACGCACACACAAAAACTTACACGATAATAATAATAATAATAATAATAATAATAATAATAATAATAATAATAATAATAATAATAATAATAATAATAAATATTATATGCTTAGTTTTGCAATAGAATTGGTAGGCTAGGCCTACCTGAAAACAGTAGGTGATTTACGATTGAGGAATTTAAAGATAGATACATATCCGCAATCGTTAGAGCTGGAGTGTGTTAAGGCAGGCTCAGGTCGACACGGAACCAAAGATAATAAATAGCGCTGAAAGAAACTCAACTCAACTCAACTTAAAGCCCCATTTCCGGCAAAATTTCACTAAAAATGACTTTTTTTAGAAAATATGCATTTGCATTACTCCATTTATTATAAATCATGGAAAAATATTGGCATGAATTTTAGTTTTACGCAAAAGAATAAAAAAAATGAGAAATACAGACTATTTCTCATAAAATATTACCATTTTCTCGACGAATTCATCGTTAC